ACCGGTCCAATTCCTGGTCAGGGCATAAAGCCAGGTTGTGGACTCGATCCCTGGTACAAGAGGTAACCAACTGGTGTTTGTCTCTCACACTGATGTTTCTCTCACTCTTCCTCTCACTTCCTCTCTCTCTAAATCAGTCAAAATATATATATTTTAAAGTGAATGCAAAAGAAAATAACAGTAGCTATTGTCAACTGTGCTTCACAAAGTTTAAACTTGGGAGTTCACCTCGCTTGAGTTTATGTGAAACAATGAGACCCTATTAATCTCATGCACGGAAAGAGAAGTTGTGCAATTCTCCTTTCTGATGCCTCTTTTCAGAAAGCACACTCAGGGTCTCCTCCTATTGTCATTTAAATCCCAGGCTTGAACAGCACTGTGGGTTGAATGGGGATTACACTGTTTGACTAAATTCCTGAGGTGTCCCTGGAGGTGTCCCTACCCTGGCTGCTGTCTCAGCTGGCTCCAACCCTGTGTGAGCCCTGTGTGAGCTCCAGTGCCCCTCAGGGACTCTTCTTTCTGGCATCACGGAGTCTGCCCTATGCGTACAAAGCTTATATATGACATGAAAATGGAGGAGACATTTATACAGGTTTCAGGGGCTATTTCTCTGCAATCTGTTTTATTTCTGATTATCCTGTTTCACAAATTCCAGCTGTCCTAATAGTCTCTTTCTTTTACCTCGGTCGTCTGACCTCAGCAAAACCAAGCTGGTGTTGTTTAAGCTCTGCTGGGGCTCCCTCACTGTGCAACCCTCTGCAGTGCCCGAGGAGAAGGATCCATGATGCTGGGCCCCCCTGGCTGGAGTGCATTCTCTCAGGAGTTAGAGACCCGCACTGTCCGCTTTCCCACAGCTAAGATAGTTATTTTTGTATATTTTCTATAGTTATATAATTGTTTTTGCAAAAGGCTGGTCCATTACAAGATACTTCATCATGGCCAGAGGTAGGATTCTCTAAGAACATATTTTATGTTTGTTTATTGCCTTGGGAGTCACTGGAACATCCAGATAGTATAAATTCAAATTCCAACCTGGAAATAATTTAATTTGCCTCCTACAGTCTCGACCAAAACAGAATATCTATCTTGTCCTCGCCCTGTGTTCACTGGCGTGTATTTCTGGACCACCTCTTCCCTGCATGTGTAACCCGTTCCTCAAGGGAGGCCTCTTTTGTCATTGCTGATGAGGGGTAAAACCTAAACCTGCATTGCACAGTCTGGGTTCTCCTTCCATGATAATCACAGTTCAATCACATAATTACTTTCTCTGATTTTAATTTTCCTCTGCATTTCTGATCCCTGAATATATTTGAGTTGAGCTATATATTTAAAAGAATATTTATTACAAACGGGCTAGTCAGGGTGTGGGGAAAGAAGGACTCTCATGAATTGCTAGATAGACGTGTCAGTTCACAATTCTACAGAGGAAAACTGCAAAGTCTCTCAAACTTCCAAAGGTACGTACATTATGCCCCCCAAATTTACTGCAGCACAATTTATATTAGCAAAAGTTTTCAAACAATTTAAAAGTTAATAATTAGGGGACTGGTTAGATAAATGTAGTTTAAAGAAAAAAGAATGAAAGCTCTGGTTGATGTGGCTAAGTTGGTTGGAGCGTTGTCCTGTACACCCAAGGGGGCAAGTTCTAGTTCTGTCAGGGCACATACCCAGGTTTCGGGCTTGATCCTGAGTTGAGTGTGTATAGGAGCTAGCAGATCTCTCTCTCTCTCTCTCTCTCTCTCTCTCTCTCTCACTCTCTTCCTTCCTCACTTTCTAAATAAAAAAAAAAATCAATAAAAAAAAAAAGAATGAAGACTTTTTCATATTTAGATGTGAAAACTATCTAAAACATTGTTTATGTGAAAAACAATGAATATAGTATGCATATTATATATTCTATTTATATAAAATATAGCATATACATACTTTTATTTTTATTCAGTATATATATATATATATAGTTTATCTCTAGAAAGATACATGATAAACTGGTGGTTTTGATCATTTCTATTGAAGGGAGCTGGGTAGTAAGTCATCAGGGTTGGGGAGGAGAATTTAATATAAATGCTTTTGTTTATTTTATTCTTAAAACAATTAAATATATTACCTCTTAAAAATAAAATGATAAAAAGCAAAAATATATTGGTCATATTTTATCTACCATCTGTGCGTGTTGTGCAGGAGCCTGTGGGTCTAGCGTGTTCTGAACTGGAGGTCCGACTATGACCTTGGTAAGTGCAGAATTCCCTATTAGTGGATTCCAATATTCTTTTTTCCTCAGCTTTACTGAGAAATAACTTACATATAATATTGTATAAATTTAAGGTATACAATGTAATTATTTCACACATGTATATATTTCAAAATAATTACCACAGTAAAGTTAGTTAACGTGTCTATCACCTCACAAACTACCAAATTTTGTATGTGGTGAGAGAACATTTAAAATCTATACTTTTAGCAACTAGCAAGTACATGCACAGTGTTGTTAACTATAGTCACCATGCTATACATTAAATCTCCACAACTCAATGCGTTTTTCTTATAACTTGAAATTTGTAACCTTTTACCAACATCTCTCCATTTCTCCCAACCACTAGCATGCTCTCAAGATTCATCCATGTAGTGGCAAATGGCAGGATTTTCTTCCTTTTCATGTCTGAATAATATTCCATTGTATATGTGTGTGTATCGCATTTTCTTTATCCATTCGTCACTTGATGGACATTTAGGTTATTTCCATTTTGTGGCTATTGTTAATAATACTGCCATGAACACAGAAGTGCAGATATCTGTTTCAGATAATGATTTCACTTTCTTTGGATGGATACGTAGAAGTGGGATTGCCGGATCATGGATGGTAGTTCTGTTCTTAATGTTTTTTTTGTTTTTTTTCAGCTTTATTGAGGTATAATTGACAAATATAACTGGTTAGTGAAGACTTGATATACGTATACATTGTAAAAGAATTCCCCCCATTGAATTCATTAACACATCCATCAACTCTCATATTTACCTTTTCTTTTTAAATTTTGGTGAGAACATTTAAAATTTGTTTTATTAGCAAGTTTGAATTATACAATATAGTATTATCAACTATAATCACTATATTACACATTAAAACCTTCAGACCTTATTTATCTTATAACTGAACTTTTGTACCCTTTTACCAACTTCTTCCTATTTCTCCTGCCCTCATCCCCTGGCAACCATTTATTATACTCTCTGTCTGTGAATTTGCCTTTTTTGTTTTTTTTCAGATTTCATATGTAAGTGATACCATGCAGTATTGGTCTTTCTCTGTCTGGTTTATTTCACTTAACATAGTGCCCTCCAGGTTTATTCATTTTGTTGCAGATTACAGGATTTCCTTCTTTAAAAAAAAAAAAAGACTAAATGATATTCCATTGTATATGTATGTCACATTTTCTTGCTCTATTCAACTGTCAATGGAAACTTACACCTTGTTTTTATACCTTGGCTACTGTGAATAATGCTGCAAAGAACACGAGAGTGCACATCTATCCTGTAGATAATGCCTTCACTTCCTTTGGGTGTTTACCCAGAAGAGGGATTGCTGGATTGTGTGTTAGTTCACGTTTTAATTTCTTGAGGAGCCTCCACACTGTTTTTCATAGTGGCTGTACCAGTCTGGATTCCCACCCACAGTGCACGAGGACTCCCTCTTCTCCACATTCTCGCCAGCATTTATTATCACTTGTCTTTTTTATCATCATTCCAACAGGTGTGCGGTGATATCTCATTATGGTTTTTATTCACATTTCCCTGATGATTCGGGATGTTGAGCACTTTTCATGTGTCTGTTGGCCATTTCTATGCCTTCTTTGGGAAAATGTCTATTCAGGTTGTTTGCCCACTTTTTAAGTGAGTTATTATTTATTTATTTGTTTAGTTAGTTATTTAGTTATTTTTTGCTATTGAGTTGTATAAGTTCCTCATATATTTTGGATATAAAATTCTTATCTAATATGTGGTTTGCAAATATTTTCTGTCATTTCCTTTTGTTCATTCAGGTTGCCTTTTCATTTTGTTGATGGTTTCTATTGCTGAGTAGAAGCTTTCCATTTTGGTACAGTCAGAGTTGTTTAATTTTGCTTTTGTTGCCTTTGCTTTTGGTGTCAAATAAAAAAAATATTACCAAGGTTAATGTCAAAGGTCTTACTCTTTATGTTTTCTTCTAGGAATTTTAGGGTTTCATGTCATGTTCAAGTTTCTAAGCCATTGAGTTGATATTTGTATAAGGTCTAAGATATAGGTCTAGTTTTATTCTTTTGCATGTGGCTATTTAGTTTTCCCAACACTATTCATTGAAGAGACTATTCTTTCTCTATAGTATACTCTATTCTCTTTTGTCATAAATAATATGACATATAAGCATGAGTTTATTTGTGGCATTTATATTGACAATTATATTGACCATATATTCATGGGTTATTTCTGGCCTCTGTGTTCTTATTCCATTGATCTATGTGTCTGTTTTTATGCTGATACCATTCTGTTTTGACTACTATAGCTTTAATAGAGTTTAAAATCAGGGTGGACTTGTCTTCTACTTCACAGATTTGTTTTTTTATTTATTTATTTATTATTATTATTATTTTTTGTCTCCAATAAACCTTTATTACAAAAACAAGCAATGAGGTTTTGGAACTAGATAGAGATGGTGATTGTACGCCATTGTGAATGTATTAAATACCACTGAATTAGTCACTTTAAAATGGTTAGTTTTGTTGTATGTGAATTTCACCTGAATAAATTATTTTTTAAAAACACCCATTATCAGCAGATTTTTATTAGATGGAGGATAACGAGGGTTGGCTCAGAGGAAAGTGGTGACAAGTGACAAGCACTCCTCCACAGAGGAGAGGAGGCATTACTGGCTGTGGGATGGAGACTTATATCTAAGGGGTGGGGTCTCCTGTTTAACTTGGCACTCAGTATCACCAGTGCTGGCATGACAGAGTATGCAACGAGCTGGTTCAGCTTGCTAACAGTTCTTCTAGTTCTGGTCGAGCTTTGAACCTTCCCTTGAAGTCTTCTTCAGTGTGCTCCTTCACTGACAATTTGACTCCCTCCGGAAGATTGCTTTGGATTATTTCCAAGAAAATCTCTGCAAATGTAAAACTCAAACCACTTCTCTGAACCACTCGCTCATGGGTGGTAAGAACTGCATCCACAAACATTTTGCCACCTTGGTCCTGCAGCTGTAACACCTCCATGGTCTTGGTAGGTATCGCATAACTTTCTTCCACTTTAATGGAGAGATGGTTGCAGAGGTTGTGAACATATTGAGCATAACTCTTTGCCAGGGCCATGTCATATACAGTCATGTGAATGTTCAAAAGCCCATATTCATAATGGGTCCCCAAATTAATGGGTCTCACTTCTACTTTTCCCCTCTTCTTGGGCTCTTGTGCTTTAATTAGGTGCTCGTATCTTCCAATGCCATGGCTGGGCTTTGTCTTGCAATGCCGACTGGTACTCAGCAGAATGCCACCTACAGAACAGATGGGATTCTCTCCTGAAGTTTTGGACCTTAAGAGGGAAAAGGCTTTCTTAAAAATGATATCGTTCTTCAAACACAGCACCTTTCCCAGAGCTCCGTTCATCCTTTGCTGCTGCGGCCAGTTATTGTGTAAGCCGAAGATCAGCCCAGACAGCTGCAATCTCTGGGTGGCTGATAACACTCTTGTTTTTTTTATTTTTATTTAATCTAGTCTGCTATTAATGAGCTCTATTGCATTGTTCGTTTCATTCACTGGATCCTTTTGTTTCAGAATGTGTTTTTTATGAGTTCTCTCTCTCTGTTAAACCTCTCATTTTGTTCATATATTGTTTCTGATTTCATTGAACTACTTTTCTGTGCTCTTTTTATTAGCTCACCAAGCTTTCTTAAAACAACTATTTTGAATGTTTTATCAAGCAAATCATGAATCTCCATTTCTTTGGGGTCTATTACTAGAAAATCATTGTGTTCCTTAGGTTGTATCATCTTTCCTTGTTTTTTCATGTTCCTTGAGGTATTGTATTGGTGTTTGTGTATTTAAACAAGGAGTCACCTCTTTCCGTCTTACTGTCTTTGGGAGAGAAGTACTTTCTGTCACCAGTTAGGGATTTTGAGGCTCACTCAAAGCTTTTCTGTGGATTCATCTGTTTTACACTTCCTGTTCTTTGTTTGTTTGTTTGTTTGTTTTGATGACACAATTCTTAAGCTTTTGTACTTTCTTTCAGTCCTGCAAAGCTGGACCAGAGCTGACAGCTTCCCTTTTACTTTCCCTGGTGTGATACTGAATACTCAAGTTTGTGTGGTTTCTTCCCAGGCCAGCAGAGTTGGGCCAGCTTTCTGCATGTGCTCCCCAGCCATCTGCCAAGGAGTACAGAGAGCTAGCCACAGGGTGGAGGTGTGTGCAGGTGAGGTGCATGGAGCATTTTGGAGCCTGTGGCCAGTTGGGGAATCTGCAGACCAAACGTCCCTGGTGGCTCATGGGTGGCCTTCCTGATGGAATCTGTGATGTGGTTGGTGTGATCCACAGCATTCCGATGTCCTCCAAGAGCCCTGTCTGCTGTTTTCTCAGCTGCAACCAAATCCCAGTCACACAGCTTACTTTAGTACTCCGGATGGGGCAAGGGAGAATGGACTCTCCATAGAAGCTTCCTGCAGAGCTTAGAAAATGTTCTCTCCCCCACGGGAGTAATGCTGGGCCAGGAAAATCTGTCTTGATGTGGAGCGGTTCTGCCTTGGGGAAGAGGTGATACACGTGACATGAAACATCCTCGTACCCTCTTCAGTGTGTCCAATCTTGGATTTTTTTCCCCCAGTGGTCTACTCTACTCCCTTGGACTCCTGGACTTCCACAAAGGCTCTCTATTCAGGGTGATTGTCTAAATTGGTGTTCTTTGTAGAGACTATGGTAGAAATTCCTATTTTGCCATGATAATGATGTGTCTCTCTTTAGTATTATTAACAGCAAAGAAAGAATGAACAAAATATAATTATAGACTTCTCCAGTACTGCAAACCCACTGATGGGATCCAGTTTTTTCAAAGCCCATAGAAAAACATATTAGGGGTTTGACGGGCAGTAATAGCACTCAAGTGTTAACAGATGTCTAAATGTAATATGCAAACTTAGGTGCAGTAGTGGAAATACAGTGACTAGAATAAACTGGCAGTTAGTTGTATTTTACTGTACACTGATTAGACCATTCATGGGATAATGTTTGTTTGATTGCTACTTACTAAGGAGAAAAAACACTGTCTTGAGTTCCCAAGAAGCAGGTTCTGAAGGGAGCACTTCTGTGAAATGGGTTTGTTGAGGGGGTGGTCCGAGGGAGACTGATGACGGAGACTGCCCGAAAGCTGGACAGCGAGGGGGAGAAGCCAATTAGTGCATAATTTACGTCCCACTTCAACCTGATTCTACGGGGACGCTCTCAAATGAAGGAGACACCTCAAAGTTTTCCAGAATTGGAACAGAGGCACTGGGTTTTTAAACTTCCCCATCTGTGAGTCATTGGCAAAGGCCCTGAGATGGGCAGTTAATTCCCAGACACACTGGTTCTCCACCTGCCCATGTAAAAGTCTCCAACAAAGTCTCCCTCCAAGGGATGTCCTCCAAGAAACAGACATGGCAAAGTACACCTAAGGCATGCAGGCAACACACCACAACAGTAAAAAGGGATACATAAACCATGGGGCAGGTCTCACTGAGCTGCAGGGCATTTGTCCATGCTGCTGCAGTATTTGAAAGGAGGAAAAATACAGTCTTCAAATAGTGTCCTGTGGAAGTACAGTTACATGCGTTCTGTGTGGCCTGAAACTGAACAGAAACTTCTGCATGGAAGGAACCTCAGGAAGGTCAGAGGTTCTCTCCACATCTCCACAGAGTTTCCTAAACATGCCACGCCTGTATCAGTGGGTGGGAGCATCATTTGTACTCTGATTCTTCAGTGTCTGGGACCATCCCACCAACACAATGGAGAGTTAAGATGTGGTTTCCCAAGCTCCCAAATTGTGAGCAAAGTAGACAATCACATTGTCAGACTTGGTTCTCTGAATATATTTGATGAAGAGGGCAAATATCCTACTAACTACAAAATAGTAAGCTTCATTTTTTGAAATTGCAGTTATTAAAAGAAGGCTTTCTCCTGCCAGCTTCTTACTTTCCTTGCAACACTACACATCCTGTGTTAAATCTTCTGAAATGGTTCAGATGCAAGATAGTGTGGGGCTAGAGGAATGAAAAGAAAAGGAAAAAACACTTTGTATCTTAACTACGTTCTTCTTTGCAGCGTTCTATAATAAGTAAACAAAATCGAATTAAATCTCAGGAGGAAGTTGCCATGACCCAGTCTGGGGACCTTCTGCGAAAGAACTTCCATTCTTTAACTGGTCTATTTTTCTCCACTTGTAAAGAACGCCTTTGGATACTGGTGGGGTTGCAAACATAAACAGTAAGTCTTGAGAACGGCCCCCTATATAAATACTTGAGGGACTCTGGCAAAATGTAATTAAAGAAAAATTCGCTTGCTCTGACCCAAGACGCCAAACACCACCACTCTGAGGAGACGTTACCTTTAAGAATTACGCAAATGGGACAGTCAGAAATTGACAGGGACAGGAACAACCATTTTCTGTTTCTAATGGTCCATGTCCAATCCTTCAGACTGAGGCTTTATCTTTTTTTTTTTCTAGAGAGCAGAAAATCCTCACTAGCAGGAGCTATTTAAAGGCCCTGGCCTTGCATTGAAACTGCAGATTTGGCAGTAGCAGGTTTCAGCTGGATTTTCTGGGCAGCAAGTAATGCAGCAGCAAATTTACTCTTTTTAATATAATGGCAACCCTCGTTGGAAGGAACAGGAATAACTTCAGGCAGTGCCAAATTTTAAATGAAAAAATCTAACTATAGCTGTTCCTTCCACTCTCTGGGAGAGCTGGGAAGGACTGTGTGGGAAGCCAGGGTTACGGGTGACCTCAGAGCACCTGCTTTGGAGATGGCTCAGCGGATCGCTTAGGTCAGCTGGCCCCCCACCTAGCCCTTGGTGAGGATTTGCAGGCCTGTGACAATGGGAGCAGCATGGAATAGAAAGGCGACTTAGCTGGGCTGATCTGGTGTAGCGCTGGTATCCAGCGAGGAGGTGTGTGCGCTTTGACCTGGGAGCCCTTGAGCGGCAGCATGAGACATCATCGCTGAGTTATAAAGCAAGTACCTAACTTTCTGTGTGGCCAGCCAGCGAGCCTGAGCCTTTCTGGGTTCCCAGCCAGCAGGAGGGAGTAGACTGAGCCTTTCTGGGTTCCCAGCCAGCAGGAGGGAGCCACATTCGCGTGTGTGAAGTGAGGGGAAACAGTCCTTACTTCGAATGCTTTCTTTTTTCACTCCACCGCCTTCTAGCCCCTGACCTTCCTTCTTAAGAGTGAGTGTTTACAGCAGCTGACGTCTCTGCACATTGTGATGTCTGTCTCAGGCACTCCCTCCCAGTCTGAAGGAGATGTTTTTGGGAGCAGAGGGTGCACCCTCGGGTGGAGCTGGAATGAAGGACACGTCAGAGAATGTGTAGAAAACTCATGGCCTAGGCTCGCAAAAGGCCTTTTGGTAAGAGGAAAGGAACATCCTGGAAGACACTTCGACCTAAGTGAAGAAGCAGCTGGAAGGGCGAATTTAAACTAGTGACGAACCTGAAGTCCGTGCACAGCGGGGAAGGCACGTGCTCTTACACAGGAAGTCCGTGCACAGAAAGAAGGCGCGTGCTCTTACACAGGAAGTCCGTGCACAGCGGGGAAGGCGCGTGCTCTTACACAGGAAGTCCGTGCACAGCGGGGAAGGCGCGTGCTCTTACACAGGAAGTCCGTGCACAGCGGGGAAGGCGCGTGCTCTTACACAGGAAGTCCGTGCACAGCGGGGAAGGCGCGTGCTCTTACACAGGAAGTCCGTGCACAGGGGGAAGGCGCGTGTTCTTACACAGGAAGTCCGTGCACAGGGGGAAGGCGCGTGCTCTTACACAGGAAGTCCGTGCACAGGGGGAAGGCGCGTGTTCTTACACAGGAAGTCCGTGCACAGGGGGAAGGCGCGTGCTCTTACACAGGAAGTCCGTGCACAGGGGGAAGGCGCGTGCTCTTACACAGGAAGTCCGTGCACAGCGGGGAAGGCGCGTGCTCTTACACAGGAAGTCCGTGCACAGCGGGGAAGGCGCGTGCTCTTACACAGGAAGTGTGAGAGGAAAGTGAAGACAGGCTTTCACCCTGCTCTTCAGACAAGGGCTTTCAGCGACCAGCCCAATGGGAGACTTCAGTGACTGTCATTAGGAAAGTGACGGAGGCTGTGTCCATCCGGAGCAACAGCGCCTAGAACCTGGGCAGCCAGCAGGGAGGGTCAGCAGACCCAGCCTGAGCAGCAGTCAGCCCAGCACGCACGCAACCCCGAGGGGACCTGCCCGTGGGCGCTGCAGCACGGTGTCCACCTCTGCAACGGGCTCATTAGGAGGTGCCTTCCTGGAGATGCCTGTTCATTCCTGGGCAACAGGGGCTTTTCCAGGGTGTGAACTACTGCATGAGCAAGTAGAGGAAGGAGCCAAAAACATTAAAAACCAAACCAAACCATGAGCTCACAGGTGGATGTGGCCTACAAAAACCAAAGTGTTCCCTTTGAGAAG